AAGTTTGTTTTCTAATGGCACTGCCTGGAATATTTCCATCGGCTGAAGGAAATTGTTCTGCTGAGGCATTAACTTACTTGGCACCATTATTAGGACGTTTGAAGTCGTGGTGTCCAGTTTCTTTTTATTTTTGTAATCTCCTTGATGACTTGGGGAGATTCCAGCCTTTCAGTCCAGTGTTAGCAAACTGACTACTCAGCCCTGTGTCTGGTGGGTTGCGACAAATTCATATTAGCAGGCAAATCTCTTAAAGACTCTAAAGCTTTAAATCTAATGGGGTTTCTAATTAACAAAATTGAATAGAGCACTGTAGTAAAACCATGTGGGTTTTGTGGGTTTCAGTTGCCCAAAGATACTCAGTATTTTGGTACTACTGCAGAAACGGGGTATTTATCTCGGCCTCCCAGTGCTCTTCCGGAAGGCTGCGAGTCTTTTATGGGTTCTTCCGCTGCCGTACAGGTGTCTGGGGCAGCGCTGCAGCCAGTGCTTGGGCACTTGGGTCCCACCCCACCAGTGCTGAGAGTGCTGCAGTATCAGCTGTTGAGCTGTCAAGCTTCAACATGACATCTAAGGCAATATGTTACTGTGATTTTCGTGGAAATAAGAGCCTCTCCAAATCAATATGTCCGTGTAAGAGAACCAAGGGGCACTGTCTCTATATTGCATGAAGGTATACTGAAGTCCCGCTAGCAGTGTTATGAGCAAAACTAAGGATATGTGAGTCTGGGTTCAAATAATCTTGCAGACAGATGCAGAGGAACAGATAGCTGTGTATAATCTTCTGAGCTTTGATCTTCTGTTGTTGCAGGTGCCTGATAACCCACCAAACTATATCCTTTTCCTTAATAACTTGCCTGAGGAAACAAATGAGATGATGCTGTCCATGTTATTCAATCAGTAAGTTTTGAGTAGAAAGGCCTTCTCCTTTGAATTCTTCTGTTACCTGCTTTTTCTCGGTTGGCAAGCTGACTTTTTAGAAATATGAGTTTCTTCTGGAGGTATTTCAGTTCTTTGTCGTACTGCCAAGATTACAGATGTCAGTTCTGATGACTTGGTGCAGAAAGCAAATCCGATTTTTTCGTAGCTGGTCTTGATTGTGTAAGTTATCTACTATCAGTCTGCACCGGATTTAAGCGGGTGACTGTAATATTAAAGACTTTACACGAGCAGGAGCAATTTTAAAAGTAGCTTAAGTTGCTTCCGTATGTGCACAAGACTGATTAAATTGCTTCCACGTAATGATTCTTAACTGAGGCATGGTTCTAAGGACTGGATATGTAAAACCTCTCGATTTAAATCTTTCATTAGTAGGAACTATTATACTAGTAGATGCTTATGATAAGGTCTTATGGCTACTGAGGAGAGATGTATTATGAAACTAGGAAATATTATCTGACTCTTTCACCTTATTTTAAAGGTTTCCTGGATTCAAAGAAGTACGCTTAGTGCCTGGGCGCCATGACATTGCGTTTGTGGAGTTTGAAAATGAGAATCAAGCAGGAGCTGCTCGAGATGCTCTCCAAGGATTCAAGATTACTCCATCTCATGCCATGAAAATCACTTACGCGAAGAAATAACCGGATGCTCCTACAAAGGACTTCTGTGGATAGTTGTTTTTTTAATACGGTGATACTTTTGATCAGTTAGCATGTTTGCTGTTCTCTGCAGAAAACTCAAGACTTGCGTAAAATTGCCACAACGGCCAGGACAGGCGTAGGATTTCCGTGGATCTACTGGGTAGTAAATGTTTGTGTTGAAATACTAATTTTTATAAAATAAATGCAGTTTATGCTGTTTTCAAGCCATGTTTTTCCTCGAATCTGTCTTATTCTCAATCTGTTAGGCTCGCAGGGCTTATTCAGTATATTGGTTTAACTACCTTTAAGGTGACGCTCATTTCTCAGAAGTGAGTGCTGGAAAAATAGCTGTCTTTCCAGAGCAAAAAGCACAAGCAGGAAT